AATAATAATGATTATTATTATTATTCCCTTGGGTTTCAAGTGGAACATAGAGCTCCAGCAACACGTCTACACTTTGTCCTACTTTCTGCGGTCCTCTCTAGCTGGCCTCGCTGCTACGGAAACTTCAGTGCACAAGACGCCATTGTAAGCTATATATATATCGGTCGGTCGGTCGGTTTTCGACATAGAACTTTGCACATATGTGCGGCAGTTCAAGTCGCCACACTCCATGTAGCACACAAAGCAAGAGAAGAAAGTAGGAGAAATGCATAACACAGACAAAGGAATAGTAATAACGAAGAACAATATAGTTTCATTGGAAATCATAAGTCACAAGGAGTGGATGCATCTCCACCAGCCATTGAGAACGATTTTGAGCCATGTCACCAATTGTTTCCAACCATTGGTTTTTACCGTCCCGAGGAACTCAACCAGCCAAGAAGTCTACACCTTCCTACGTGGCTTAGACTAACTGTTGTGGATTTTATTGACTGGTGCCATGTTTTCATTTGACCGCCGCTAGCTCTTTTCCAGCCTGACCCTATATCAGCTAACATTGCCCATTGTCGAGGAAGGCGATGACTAGGCATACGTAACACATGTCCTAACCATCTCAGTCGATGTAATTTCACAGTCTCGTCGACTGATTTCCTCGCCTTACTTAGCACTCGACGCCTAACCTCAATATTGCTCACCTTATTATACCACTTCACATGGGAGATAAAACGCAGACACCTATGCTCAAAGACAGCTAATCTTTTCATGTCTTCCACTCTCAATGTCCAGGTCTCACAGCCATAAAGGAGGACGGAGCGGACTGTTGAGCAGTACACACGCTCTTTAGTCGATAGTCGAATATCGCGTCTACGCCAGAGACGGCGTAAACTGGCATATGCGAAACTAGCCCTCTGTATTCGTGCTGAGATTTCGTCGGAGATTACTTAGTAGATAGCGTTGCTAAACATTTCTTCATAACTGGCGTAAGGGAGCAAGAGAAACATGAATCAGTATAGAAGTTTTTACACAACAGTATATTTCAAGTAATCAGAATTTGGAAATGCACACTAACGAAGAGGATAAACGTGTGACGATATTGTACTGGAAAAATGATGCACGGGAGAATGAGTGGTTTGATGAAGAGCTATGATATTCAAAATTTTGAATTCATTTGCTGCACCATTGGTCATTGCCCTGGGGTCTTCTAATCTACTCGTTTTTTGCGGATATTTATGGATCGGTGCACATCACACATCTCACAATCACACCAGTTGAAGGAAGCTTGTATTTTCCTTGATTTACTAACTTCTTTCCTGTACAACTCAACGCCTGACATCTACAGTGAATATGTGATGGTCTCACCAGTCACTGATAATACCGCCAAAGTAGTGACAGTCGAGATGTATGGTCTTCTGCCGTAGTCTACTCCCAGTCTCAAATCGTACCAGTTTCTCACTGCACAAAGTTTGATGTGTAACCGTATATCTTTTTGATATCAAAGATGATACATGTCAGAAAATTCCGTGGTAGAGTTTTGCTACCCACTGCTCTCTTGGAACTGATGCGATTTTCCAAATAAGTTAAGTGCTCAACACATTCAATTGCCCTATAAAACATATTCGGATTTTCGCCTATGGTATTTAGGTTTTCACCTTAAATGACTATTTATAATATACCTAGGATATATGGCAAGATAAAACTGCATAAAGAAGGGTATCCGATGGGACCGATTGTAGATTTTAGAAACACACCAACGTATACGCTGTCAAGATTTCTTTCAACATTACTAAGATCAACAAGAGACAATTCAAAAGCTAGAATAGTAGATTCATTTGAATTGATGAGACGACTAAAATACCCATTCAAACGGCCATGGATGCACTGAAAACAAGACTAAAAGAAGATGATGGCCTAAAAGACAGGACACAATTACCCGTAGGAGAGATAGTAAAAAGGGTTAAGTTCTGTCTAACAACAACATACTTTACATTTGAAGGAAAAATATACCAACAAAATGATGAAGTAGCCATGGGATTGCCCATCTCACCAATAATAGCTCACATATTCATGGATTTTTGGGAAGAGAATTCACTTAAACCATTCAGGTCATCAATAGAATGTTGGTGGAGATACGTAGACGACATGTTAGTAATAATGAAAAAGAACGATGTTGAGAAATTCTTCTCACACATAAACAGTCATGTCGACTCAATAAAATTCACTATGGAAATAGAGAATGAAATTGGGGGACTGCCTATGTTAGACTGCAAAGTACAAAGAGTAACAGATGGCAGCGTAAAAACGACGCTATGTAGAAAAACTACACATTCTAGGAGATTCCTTGATTATCACTCAGCTCATCAACTCACGGTAAAACGAGGGTTAATACAAGGTCTTGCAGACAGAATACGTAGACTTACAACAACACCAGTGGACCAGCGTAAAGAAGTAAATGTCCTATTCAAAATGTTACTCGACAACAACTACCCAAAAGAATTTATCAGAGATAATATAAAGAAGAGGATGGCATAAAAACGACCACAATACATAACAAAAATGGTACATCAGAGGCAATTCGAAGAAACCTCAAAAATATTGGGATTCGAACCACGTTTAAACCAACGAATCTAATTAGAAATAAAATAAATCAACTGAAAATCCAATAAAAATGATGGCTAAAAATAATGTAATTTACAAAACATCTTGTGCCGAGTGTCCGACCAAATATGTGGGTCAAACGTCCAGATGACTCAAAATAAGAGTGAATGAACATAAACGCTTAACTAAAGGTCATCCATCCCACAGGAACACAAGCTTACAACAATTTAGAAAAAAACAACATCTATAGCTGCAGATGCATGGGACAAAAACCGCAATATTATTGATTGGAACAATGTTTGTATTCTGAAATCTAATATGAACAAATGGAAGAGAGACTGATAGCAGAATCTATATTCATTAAGGTCATGCCGGATAAATGTAACAAGGGTGACTCAGCACAACTGTCAACAACCTGGAATATAATCCTGGATACACAAAAATGAATGGACCAAAAAAAGAACTATATATATGAGTACAAATCATAAATGTGTGAATTAACAACAAAACAATTCCAACAGTTGGTGTGATCATAGGCAGTAATTTTGCTCGAAATGTTAGCAAAAACAAAAACTTATCATTGTGTGTGTGTAAACTATTGAAATACAATTATAATTTATTAAATCACTTAGAGTTCCCTTACTATACCCATTCATTGTTATTGCTAAAAAGACATGTACATGAGAACTGTATACAAAAATGATACCACAGTGACACCAAGAATTTTATCATAACTGTGATGGTGTTTAACCATCAGATTAGAGATTCGACTGCATTCACTCTGTAATACTTTGAATATTTTACTGATCTCGATAGTTCAGTTGATTACTCTCTACATAATCAAAGAGTCGAAAATTTCTTTGACCAACTACTGTCACTTCTATAAACTTTAATGCTTTCTAAAATATACAGTGGACAATGAACAGTGAAAAATTCCTTTCTTATATTTTAATATAATGTGATAAGCCCCAATGTCTTCTATTATTTTAATATTTAACAGCACGTGTGCGTGCATTGACAGCATTTTTGGATGACATGCTGTGTTTCTCTTTACTTTTAAGGTTGATTAATTAGATAGACCCTGGATTGTCTAGGGTCATTTATCGGTTAGCAGCGTCACTAAGATTCTTACAATACAGTATTTTCTTTTGCTTACTTTTTAGTTAATGCTTAACATTGGTCGATATAGTGTGTGTTTATTCACTGCAGTTTTTTTTAAAGAGTCTTTAACACTGAGATATATGACTATGTGATCAAGTTAAGCTATCGATACTGTATTAGGTCTTGAATGTATCGTCTCATAAACCTTGAAGGTCTTTTGTTCGATCTACGCTAGGGCCCTGGATGCGTACTTCTGAAGAACCCCAATCTAGGATAAAATAGCTATCCAGTAGAGTAGTTATTGATCAAATACAACCAGCGAAAGGTGAAGTTTTTTTTAAATTTCCTCAAAATCTGTGATGTAGGATGAAATATGACCTTCATTATCTTAACACACTGTGAGATGTGTGAATCATTTTAAATAGGACAAATAATATGTGTGTCAAATTTTGAAGGTCTTTGATTTTTGCTGTACAATATTTCGTTGTGATGTCTTGTCTTGATGTTTATCTTCATGTCGAGGAGGTTCGAGATAATATTTCTCATTTTGTTGAACACAAATTAAGTTTTCGTCTTCCTATTCTGAAAATAATCATGAATATTAGAGAATAAGTATAAATTCTACAGAAATATTCTTGCATCTTTTATATTTTTTAACATAAATTTAAAAAGATCTGGTCACTTATTTATATTGGCTACAGGATTTCATCATGAGCTGACATCGGTTAGAGAACTATTTGGAAAACCAATACATGAATATCAATGAGATGCTCACTAGCGGCTGGTCCTATTCAGGTAGGTAGTTACTTGGAGTTCTAGTGGGAAGTCATGACCAGTAGGGTAGAACAGGTCGGGTGTGAGGAAAAATACTCGCCACGGATGACATTGGCTAGTGGTCACGCCATATCGTGAATTAGCAGAAGTTGGAATTCATGCACTGGCCATTGGATCGGTCTACGAGTTCGACTTGTAACCAGAAGGTCTTGGGTTTGAACTCTGGTGGTGGGTGCATACCGCTGAAGAATCCTAAGCTAGGGACGAAGCTGATGTCTAGTACTCCCTGATGGTTTTCCAATGGTTGTCTAACCGATGTCAGTTCATGATGAAATCCTGTAACCAATCAATCAAATCGCCTTATTTATAGACTGACGTTTGCGATGATAATTTCCGAATGAATAAAAATAGTTCAAGAGGTTCTAATCGACTTCATCGAATTAATTTAATTGTAATAGTTGAGAAGAGATAATATGAACTGGTGTATCTACTGATATTAACGCTTTTCTTCTTCAACTTTTACTATCTAGGTAATCGCATACGCTATGAAGGAACATAATTGGGATTTAGAGACTGCTCTATCTTTTGTTAAATGTCGTCGTCCATGTGTACAGCCAAATCCTGGTTTCATGAGAGAATTGTATACATATCAAGGAATTCTTGAAGCAAGGTAAAGATTATTATTTCTTCTGTTATCCATATAGTCGGTTATCATTCTACTACTTATTTTGAAAGTATTGAGCACTTTTTATGTCTATCTGGTTAAAAATTTAGTGTAATACTGAAACTCTTCAAAATAGATGTATCAAGTCGTATCTCAGTGGAAATATCGCTTAATGATTGGGTACATATTTATGCACGTAGCTACCAGCCACTTTAACATGCTACCTGGTTGTCGTGATTGAAGTTAATGGAGTGGTGTCTGGACTTCTGAATGACTAAACAGCTAGACATACAATTTTGGTTGCTTCAGTACTTTATAATACTTCCATAAAAAGAAGATTGCAACATGTTCTCCACTCACTGCGGTTCTCAGCCTTATCCGATAACGTCTCGAATAGCTGACTTGGATAATCTCCCCAACGTCAGCGAGAGAATTGTAGTGCATCAGCAGATGTTGACCCGAACTGACCATCCTTCATCCTACGTCGCCACATCATGGGTTGGTGACCTTCCTACTATTTTCACCCATTCCTAGGGCTAGCAAACAATGGACTGCGTGGAAGCTGCTGGATTGACACTTCCATCACACAACCAAGTCACCGAAGCTTGTTTTCTAACATGACATCACGTATTTGAAGGATAGTGTTTACCATGTCTAAGCTACCCCCGCCCCCTCATCAAATCTTATAATTACTTACACAGTGACATCACTGAATGCAAGCAGTCCTACAAAGACAGCAATCCATGAATATGCAATCACCACCTCAACCCAGAGAGACCAGGTTTCACAGGCGTAAAGTAAGGCTGCAAGCACTCAATTTTTGTAAGCCTGACTTCCGATGGCTAGATTAAAGTCGTTGTGGACCAAAATTACACGAACTCCTTTACCTTCTACCATACAACTGGAAAATTTTATCCGTTACACCTCTTCTATCACTCATACTACTACTTGGATATACTCACTTTGAAACTATTTCTAGATGTTCAGTTGCTAAATTGAGTTCAGGCACCGACCCTTCATAACAGTACTTTGCACTTTAATGGTGCAACCACAGAGATACTAACCGCCAACCGATTTAGTAGCTAGTATGTTATCACACCTTAAGATGATATCGTGTGCATACACTCAAGGTTCAAAAGTGTTTCTCCAGGCAGCAGATCTATACCACCACTACGTAATCTTTCAGAGTTAAGAAATGTGTAGATAAAGCAACCCTGTCTTACACTATAACTGAGTAGGAACAAAGATGATAGGTGGCTGTGCGCCCCCCCCCCCTTCTGCCTGAGGCCATTTTATGGGGTGTTGAGGATGTTGGTAAACTTATTAGGGAGACAACCCACTAACAAACAATCCTAAAGAACAGTAATTTCCAACAGATTGAAGGTAGCCCTGATATAAAGAAATAAAGAGATTATAGACAAGCAATATATGTGTTACATTGCTCTAATAACTGATGAAGGGTGAACTTGTGATCAATGGATTCACGAGCTGACGGGAAACCCATCTGATCCTTACAAATAGTTCTATGCAGTGAGAATTCTGAAAGATGCAACAATCAGTATTTGGCATGATAAAGATAAACCGCTTATCTTGTGCATTAGAATACTTTCAGAAACTTGTAAGAAAAACAATTTAAAAAGGAATTATACAAAGGAGCTGCTTCGCTTACAATCTTATTCAATCTTTTACAGTTATTTCGTGAACACTAACCAGAAGTCCAAAACTTGTTGAAATTAATTAGATTTATAAACAGAAACACTATGACCTGTAGGGTAAAGCAGGTCGGGTGTGAGGAAAAATACTCACCGATGAAATTCATGCACTGGCCATTGGTCTTGAGACGGGTAGGTCCTGGGTTTGAACTCTGGCGGTGGTTGCGTACTGTGAAGAGTCCCAAATTAGGACGAAACATCTTTGCAGTACTCCCTGATGGTTTTCCAATGGTTGTCTAACCGATGTCAGCTCATGATGTAATCCTGTAACCAAAGAAATTCTATGAATTAATTTTGTTTTATTTAGGACATATTGAGTTTTTATCAACCTAGTCGTTCATGGGCTGAAAATTATGCGTTTAATACAGATATTATAGGGTAGAGTAGGTGCGTGTAATATCTTCTAACCACCTCAGTCTACACATTTTTGAAACCACACCAGCACACATATTCTTTGGTTATTTGAATAGGTTTCGCCACATTAACCAAAACATTATCATATCATCTTTATTTGTTGCATATTTTTGTGAGTCGATCAGTTATTATTTGGATGATTATTACTATTATTATCTGTCTACATTTGTCTTCATGCGAAAAAAATATAAGTCAGTATTTGTTTCAATAAATTTTATCAATCGGTGAAATTTTTCATCATGAACAAGAATGCGAAATATGATGGATGTGTTTTTATTTTAGAAATTGAAAGGGTATTGATTGTTAGGTTTTCATGGAGAGTAGTCTAACGTTAGCACACTAATGTCTTGAAAACTAAAGGTTCAGAATTCATTGTTGTTATTGTTGTTGTTAGGCATGAAGAATTTGTCACACATGGTTAGGAAATGTATCTGATTCTCTTTTGTGAGTGAGTAAACTATCGTCTTGCAAGTAATTTCAAATCATGACAAATAATTAATATTCAAGTTTTGGTTTGCGTGGATTTCATTGGTTATAGGATTTCATCATGAGCTGACATCGGTCAGAGAACCATTGGAAAACCATCAGGGTGTACTAGACATCAGCTTCGTCCCTAGCTTAGGATTCTTCAGCGGTATGCACCCACCACCAGAGTTCAAACCCAAGGACCTTCTGGTTACAAGTCGAACTCGTAGACCATTAAGCCACTGGGACGCGATCGAATGGCCAGTGCATGAATTCCAACTTCTGCCAATTCACGATATGGCGCGACCACTAGCCAATGTCATCCGTGGCGAGTATTTTTCCTCACACCCGACCTGTTCTACCCCACTGGTCACTACACCTCACTAAAACGATCTGGCCTTGTAACCGGAAGGTCCTGGGTTTGAACCCCGGTGGGTGAGTACTGATGAAGAGCCATAAACTAGGGAGAAACATCTGTACAGTATTCCTTAGTGGTTTTCCAATAGTTCTCTAACCGATATCAGCTCATGATGAAATGCTGTAATAAATAATTAAATCTAGACAAATACACACATGTATAGGTTGATGTTCATATGCATGGAAATTCTCATCTTACAGCTTAATACGGATTGTGTGTGTGTGTGTGTTCTACTCATTTTCACAAAGCTTACTATTATAGTAACACAAGTAGACTATCATTTTACACTTGTAAACACTTCTGTTTACTTACATTTATCTCTTCGTTTGTGAATATGATATACATTTCGTGTGAGATGGCCTTGTTGAAGATGTTTATAGTCATTATAGTATTGGAAATAATTGAAGTGATACCTTCTCAATATCATTTTTATTGTTTTGAATGTATACTTTCCCATAGTATGTGATAATCGGAAAGAGGTTATTTAAGTGTTTTCTGTAATTGCTTAGTTTCTAAAGCTCTCGATTTTTCTTGGCTTTCTGCAGTAGTATTTTATCTACCGTATATTTAACGCATGTTATGACAGCTTTGAAACTAGACCTCGTGCGACTATTCTAATGAAGCTAAACTGTCGATATGAATTATGCAATGTGCGTATATTTCTGTAATCACTTGTAGTCACAATCAAATTATTAATATGGTTACTCCTTTGGATTCCGAGTGGAACATAGGGCTTCAACAATACATCTCCACTCTGTGCTATTTGGTGGTGTCCTCTTCAACTGGGTCCACGATTGCCCATAATCTCCCATCTCCTCCTCTCAGGATCTTCTCCATGTTATCCTAGGACGACCCATTCGTCGCTTCCCATTGGGATGCCACTCTAGTGGTGACCACCTCAACGTATGCCCGGTCCATCTCCATTTTCTCCTACATATTTGTTGAACGACAGGTTCTTGGCTCTTGTCACAATCAAAACATCCATAATTTAGAGCGTAACAAAAAAGTATGCATACAAAAGCTGATGTACCAATCTCTCTGTCTAGATTCAACATAGAACTTCGCACCGAAGTGCAGCAGTTCGAGTTGCCACGTTCCAAATAGCACACAAAGGTAGACAAGAAGATGAGTGAAGAGAATCAATAGAGTTTTGACAGGTATAAGAGTGAAACAGAATGAGTAATGGTAGAAAGGAATATGAAAGATTACAGAGACTGAATACATCCGCGTAAGCCATTGGCAATGATTTTGAGCCATGTCACCTATTGTCTCCAGCCATTGATTCTTAGAGCCCTGAGAGAGGCCCCAACCCGGAAGTCTGCATCTCTCTACCTGACTCAGTATAACTGTCAGGGATTTCATGGATTGATGAGGCCATGTTTTTGTTTGGCCACCACTTACTCTTTTCCAACCTGCACCTACATCAGCTAGTAATGCCCGTCGGGGTGGGGGAGGCGATGGTTAGGCATGCGCAGCACGTGATCTAGCCATCTCAATCTATGTAACTCTATAGCCTCGTCGATTGATTTTCCCTCTTTGCCCAACACTCTACGCCTAACGTCAACATTACTTACTTTATTATACCACCTAACGTGAGAAAGAGATCGTAGACATCTATGATCAAAAACAGTCAACTTTTCCATGTCTTCAGCTCGTATTGGCCATGTTTCAGAGCCGTAGAGAAGGACGGAGCGAACTGCTGAACAGTACACACGTCCCTTGGTTGATAGCCGGATGTCACGCCTACGCCAGAGATGGTGTAAGTTAGCGAAAGCAGCTCTAGCTTTTTGGATCCGTGCTGAGATTTCGTGATGTACCAATGGGAGTCATTCGTTTTTATTTTTGCAAACTAAACCTCCTAAAAGATCAGACCACACTGATAGTATATTATGATTTATGCAGACAGTAGTCACATTAAAACTTAATATATTTGACGTTGATATCCTAAGGACTGTTGACTTGGTTAAAACTTTATTGTCTATACACTACTTGATTGG